ATATAAGCATATATTGCATCATAGTATCTCTTAGGCAAGCAGAAGGCATTCGAAAGCAAAAACTGTCATACACAGGTATATTAAGATAGGAGACAGTTTAAACAAGATAATCTCCATTTGTGTACTTGGCAGCAAATCTGCTCCGTATAACAGAAACCAAGATTCATAAGATATTCCCTGCATGAGAGTACTGCTGAAATATCTGTGAACTCCAGGAGATGTGTCGGACAACCCGTGGATATGTAGAGCACTGCGCAGATATCCAAAACTAACGCGGGGATATCCAGAGCACTGCGAGGATATCCATGAGATATCTGGGGCGCTGCTGGGATATCTAGACAGATTCTGTAAACTCCAGGAGACGTGGCAGACAACCCGTGGATATCCATGAGATATCCAGAGCACTGCGCGGATGTCCAAAACTAACGCGGGGATATCTATGAGATATCTAGAGCACTGCGCGGATATCCAAAACTAACGCGGGGATATCCATGAGGATATCCGGGGCACTGCGAGGATACTGTACTATTACGGTATGATCTTCACGTAACGCGTAACGGGGGGTCATTTGATCTTATTGGACCCTGCCGATCGCCTGGAAATCCTAATCGGGTTTCCATCAAAAAAAATTGGGAAAATCTGTGAAGACTTGCCCGTAATAGTACAGTATCCATGAGATATCAGGGGCACTGCTGGGATATCTAGACAGATCCTGGAAACTCCAGGAGATGTGTTGCACAACCCGTGGATATCCGTGAGATATCTAAAGCACTGCGCGGATATCCAAAACTGATACGAGGGGATATCCATGTGGATATCCGGGGCACTGCGAGGATATCCATGAGATATCCGGCGCACTGCTGGGATATCTAGACAGATCCTGGAAACTCCAGGAGACGTGTAGGACAACCCGTGGATATCTGTGAGATATCCAGAGCACTGCGCGGATATCCAAAACTGACGTGGTGATATCCATGAGATATCCGGCGCACTGCTGGGATATCTAGACAGATCCTGTAAACTCCAGGAGACGTGTCGGACAACTCGTGGATATCCGTGAGATATCCAGAGCACTGCGCGGATATCCAAAACTGATACGGGGATATCCATATGGATATCCAGAGCACTCCGAGGATATCCATGAGATATCTGGGGCACTGCTGGATATCTAGACAGATCCTGGAAACTCCAGGAGATGTGTTGCACAACCCGTGGATATCCGTGAGATATCTAAAGCACTGCGCGGATATCCAAAACTGATACGAGGGGATATCCATGTGGATATCCGGGGCACTGCGAGGATATCCATGAGATATCTGGGGCACTCCTGGGATATCTAGACAGATCCTGTAAACTCCAGGAGACGTGTAGGACAACCCGTGGATATCCGTGAGATATCCAGAGCACTGCGCGGATATCCAAAACTGATACGAGGATATCCATGTGGATATCCGGGGCACTGCGAGGATATCCATGAGATATCCGGCGCACTGCTGGATATCTAGACAGATCCTGGAAACTCCAGGAGACGTGTCGGACAACCCGTGGATATCCGTGAGATATCCAGAGCACTGCGCGGATATCCAAAACTGATACGAGGATATCCATGTGGATATCCGGGGCACTGCGAGGATATCCATGAGATATCCGGCGCACTGCTGGGATATCTAGACAGATCCTATCCATATTCGGCTCTTACTGCGAGCTTGTGGTAAATTCGTCGTCGCTAGAACGAAAATTTTCACCGCAGATCTCGCATGCGGTTTATGGGTATGGACCCTGCGCACTCTAACATTATGCTTTTCCATTGTAGCCCTACAATTGATGGGACCCTAGGCTGGGGTTTATCAACCCATATTAGGCAGGTGCCTTCCTAATAAGGAGATTACCTCGGCTACCCCTAATTAAAACCCTAGCCTGGGGGTTCATTTTAGCTTTTAGGGTTCTATTTTAGCTTTTAGGGTCTCATTTTAGCTCTCTAGGGTTCTATTTTAGCTTTTAGGGTTCTATTTTAGCTTTTAGGGTTCCATTTTAGGTCACTAGGGTTCTATTTTAGCTTTTAGGGTTCTATCTTAGGCCACTAGGGTTTGGGTTTTCTGTCATTGTTCTCACCTCATCATTCTTAGTGTCGTCAACACCATTCTTCCCCTCATCATCGACACCATCCTTCCTCTCATCATCGACACCATCCTTCCTCTCATCATCGACACCATCCTTCCTCTCATCATCGACACCACATGTCATCATCATCATCGTCACCTCTCAACCGACCGTGTTCTCGATATAAGACCGCTGCTGAATAATATTATGCTGAATATGTTGCTGTCATCTGCATACGGTGTCGCACTTGAACGAGAACAGATGACGATGCTATATTATGCAGTACGACATATGAGGAGAACACAGTGCGTTCTCGCAGTCGTAGTGACCATGCACCGAAGCGAATGAGGAGCCGAGTAAATTAGGTCATCCTCGTCGTGCTGACCTAATTTAATATGTGTACCTGAGATGTAAGTGTTTTTATCTAAACACGGTACTATGCTGCATGTCTCGGTCTTGACGTTCTTCTCGGCTTTTTGTCACTCTAAAAAAATATATATGACTGAGAGTCTGTATGCCCGCAGCAATGCCAGAGTTGTTTGAGAGTGTTCCGAGCTGCGTGTTGCTGGTCGGCGTCTGTTCGTCTTCAGATGCCTTTCTATAAGCTACTCTAATGGGTGCTCGATTGATAGCAATTGAGCGTAGTTACTTGTGATTGACTCTGTGATTGCGACTGCGATTCCGGACTGTAGTAGCCAGTGCGTAAAGTCCAACTGCGACGTATGGTTAGGGTGAGCAGAGGTGGTGCCGTTTGAATTTACTCTATGAAAAAACGGCCCGTTTCCCGACTGTAGTCGCCAGCTCGCAAAGTCATGCTGCGACATATGGCTAGGGTGAGCAGAGGTGGTGCCGTTTGAATTTACGCTTTGAAAAATCCGCCCCGGTTCCCGCCTGTAGTGGCTAGCGCGTAAGCCGATGATAGCCTGAAGTTTACGTATCGAGGAGGATCTTGCTCTATGTCGTACTCAAGTTATTCTGCTTAGAGTCGGATAATGCGCCTCAGAGCAGTAGGAGCATGCTGCTGCACCATTTGATGTCTGTAAACTCGCACGTGCTATGATCGATGTTGTGGTCTCAACCTGTATCTTATTGGTTTCTTTTCGAGTTGTCGCACTCGGATAAAGAGCCGACTGAGCATCAATCTGCGTCTTTGTAGTTCCGAGTACTCAAACACGTCAAGGTAGATCTACAGACTGCTCGAGGCTCCGTCGCTTCAGTCCAGAAGCTGCAAGTCATCAGTGTAGGAGTACGCTTTTGAGTTGTCATTCTCGTCTTCAGATGCCATTCTATGAGCTATGTCTGCATATCGGCTTAACTGAGCATCGTCGCTCATACAATGACTCTGTGATTGCGACTGTGCTTCCCGCTTGTAGTCGCCAGTGCGTCAAGTCCTACTGCGACATATGGTTAGGGTGAGCAGAGGTGGTGCTGTTCGAATTTACTCTATGCAAAAACGGCCCGTTTCCCGACTGTAGTGGCCAGCTCGCAAAGTCATGCTGCGACATATGGTTAGGGTGAGCAGAGGTGATGCCGTTCGAATCTACACTTTGAAAAATCCGCCCCGGGTCTCGACTGTAGTGGCCAGCACGTAAACCGAGGACGACACACTCTTATAGATGACGCATCCATATTAGAAACGTTGGCTACGCCTTGATCCGATCCCGACTGTGCTCATCTCTCTTGCCTTTGTTACTGTTGCGGCTACTCACTCTTTCAGATGCCTTCTGCAGTTCTATGTTCTCAACCGTGTTCTCGACGTCTAACTGCTACTTGACCATACTATGCTGCCACCAAGGTCTCTGCTGACGTTGTAGTTTGTTGAAGCAGACAGTCACATTGTAGATAACGCTATATCATGCAGTCTATAAAGTCTGGCCAAACATCTTGTTGCTTCTCAATGGTGTTCTCTGCGTAAGAGTGCTACTCGACAATGTTATACTGGCGACGTCCGAGCTGTTATCTGCATCATTGTAGATGACGAGGACGATGACATGTCAAAGGCGTATGGATGATGATAGTATATTCTGCAGTACGTGTCATACGTAGCTGACGAGGAGGATCTTGCTCTACACAGTGCTTTCCAGTTGCATCAGAGATATTATTCTGCTTAGAGTCGGAGCGTTTGCTATGTTGGATGCAGTGAAGCCGGGTATTATTGGTCATCCTCTTAGTGCTGATCAAGTTAATATTAGTACCTGAGACTGCGCCATTTTACGTCAGTGTTGTTGGTACTATTACCCCTACTTCAGTTGCACCGATGCAAAACGAAAAAAAAATACGGCTATTTTGTAAGAGAGGAAGTTGTAGGTACACCTAAGGGGATGTACTGTACGAAATATCAGACCATATAATTATACATTGAGCGAGCTATGGGCCGATCAAGTTGTGGCGCACGATCATGTTGAACCCGGTTCACGCGATCTTCTACCACTCAGGACTGGTTCTAGGACCTCATAAGAGGCCGATAAAGGTGCGGGAAGTAATTTACTCGGTCCATGGTACCCATCTTCAGTAGCGTCCGCCGACGTTCGCTGGCTCTCGCTGGGTCTCGCTGGGTCTCGCCGAGTTCCGCTGGGGTATTTTCCATAAAGTGTAGCACTCCCACTGAGAAATCTATCAGGTGTATGTTCGCTTCCTGGATTAGAAGGAAAATAGTACAGGACGTGAATCCGACTTCAACCTGCGCCACCCAAGGAAGCAGTACTGGTGCTCTAACCGACCAAGGTAAGCAGGCTGAAGCACAAAGGCCATGTCCAACCCATTCAGTTAAGTGGGATGGGACTCGCTGGGACTCGCTGGGCGTCGCCGGGTCTCGCTGGGTCTCGCCGGGTCTCGCCGGGTCTCGCTGACGTCAGACAAATACAAAGTCTCATCATCCGGTTCACCCTCACTAGTAGTACGGGTCAATAGCGTAGTGGTTAACGCATCTGACAAGAATATGTAAACCACGTCGTTGAATCTTACCAGAAGATCCTCAGTTCAACTCTGAGTTGACCCATTCGTCGTAGCCGATACATTTTTATTCAGAAATCCTCTAAAATAGGCCCAGTAAACAAGGCTACCTCCTCTGCTGTCATCGTCTTTAGCTCAAAGGGATCATCGTTCTCTTCCTGGGTAAGTGAAATAGGCGCTGTGAACGCAGCTACCTCCTCTCGCGTCATGGTCCTTAGCTCAAATGGGTCATCGTCGTCTTGCTCCCCCTGCGTCAGTTGTCCCGTGCTGGGGAGTAGCGCGGCATCTTCCTCAGTAGAATCATCGTGAACGCTGGGCTCGGGATCTGTACAATATGTTCAAGGTATACTTTTCGTGAAATGCATGCAGCTAGCGCACCGTGCATTTCTTCATCTTCTCCGGCGCCGCTCTCCACGCTGTTGACTATATTGCGGACGCTATGAAAGAACGGGCTTGAGCTGTGGGAGGCCCACTGTAGATACAGCTCGACTTCAACTTCCTGGAATCGCGCCGTTCGCCATAGTTCAAACCGGTAAGGTCGAACACATGGAACGACTTCGTCTGTGTCCCGCGGGCCCCGCATAAAGGGAAATACGCGACTGGCAAAGAACCGGTCGACTCCAACCCACAACATTTCTATATATAATTGGTCCACAACGGCTCGAGCAACCTTATTGAGGATGCGCAAAGTGTCTTGAGGATGACCCCTGAGTGGAATGTTAGCACCTATGTTTCCGCTATAGCTCTGCTACTGCTTACCAGATTAGCAGGATCTTCTTGTGCAAGCAGTTGATATAGAGCCTGACTCGGGCCTTTTCCTTCTCCAGACCTACTCGGGTACTGACCAGTTCATTTCTGACAAGGATTTGTCGTTTGACGTCCAGGTGTTCAAACGGGTGCCAGAACTGCGCGTCCAACGCCTTGAAAAGATTACCGTGAAAATCTCCGGGTAAGTATTGAGAAGCGGGAAGCGCGATTTCCTCATCTGCTCGATGCTCGGCATTCCTAGGAACATTGTTGATATCTAGCAGGGACGGGAAGAACGCAAAGCACGTACCGGATCAGCGACAGTACAAGTCGGCAGAGAGCATACCAACCCATGTAGGTGGACAAGACGTCGAAGACTGCCCTGATTCGCGGCGTGTCCTCAACAAAGGACCTATCGATATCGTCTATCGGGGGATCTTCCAGGTGGTCCGGCTTCCCTGTCTCTGCATCGCGAAGCTTTAGGCGCCGAAGCACAAAATTGGTACGTCTAGAAAATGTATGCATCAGTATGTAACATGTAGCATGACAAGTTGACGTACTCCAAAGCGTCTTCCTCTGCCCAGCTTCTGGTTGATGAGGTCGGAGTCATCAGACGAGCGGTATAAGCATTCAGGACTTCAAAGTTATCCTGTAGACATTGCTCCAGCATGTACTGGAAAGGAAGTCGTGTGCTCATGCGGGGTACAGTCGGACTGGCGGCGTTGGCAAGAAGCTCCTGAGTGAGCGACATGGTATGTCGGAACAAAGCGGGGTACGCACCTCGGATAATTCCTCACTCAAATGCCGACAAGCCGAAGTAACACGACGTAGTCTCATGGCTCTCGTCTACATCGAACGCTCGTCTACATCGAACGCTGGCCAATAGCGTAGTCGTTATCACCTCTCAAGTGTCACGTCGTTGGACCTAGAAGCGATTGAGTTTGGCGCAGATCTGCCGGGTCTCGCTGGATCTCGCTGGATCTCGCTGACATCCCGCGAATACGAAGTCTGATCATACCGTTCACCCTCGCGATGAGTACGGGTCAATAGCGTAGTGGTGAACGCGTCTGTCCAGATTACGTCGAAACAGAGTCCATGACAGAAGATCCTCGGTTCGATTCCGAGTTGACCCATTTGTCGTAGCTGATACATTTTTAATTAGAAATCCTTAAGTCACACCACATTCTGAGCGAATACGTAGTCAAATTTTTCTATACAAATACAGGCGGGCACGGTAGAGTACATCATTTCAAGAAAAGGTGGCGTACAAGTCCAAAAAAACGGCGTCGGCGGTAAACTAACCCTCTCTCATCATCCAGCACCCAGCACGGAAGGCGTCAACAACGGCGTTCGGAACAGCATCACCGACTTCTGGATCATCACTCCAGAGCCCACAGTCCGCGCCCTGAATCTCGTTCAAGCACAAACGCGGTGGGCCGTCTTCTGACTCCATGATGCCGATGTCAATTCTGACAAAGAGACGGTACGTAGCGGAAAGTGGACCAGCGACCGCATCCTCGATGTTGACCAGACGCTCGTAGATACGGGACGCGAATCGACGGATCTCCGACTCAGCCTCGAGTGTGCCATCTGTCTTTCCGCCAAGCCAGCGATGCTCGCGATCCACGGTCGGGTCCTCTGATGGAATACGGCCATCGAGTACCCTAGAGAATACGTTCTATGAGTACGTTCCACACGAAATAAGAACTCTTACTTGATATTTTTGAGGGGAGCCGTTTTCTGATACGCCACACGATGTACCTCCCAGTTTTGTGCCTTCTCGCGCCCGGGCACAGTATGTAGTGAGTCCACCAAAGCACCGTTGACAAAGAAGACGCGGACTTCACCGACACTGATCAACGCGTCGTTATACGGTACAGCAAGGTACATGGGAATGAATGGATCGCCGCCGCGCTCGGTGGACTTCCCAGTCTTCCTCCAAGACTCTTCGAAGCGCGAGATGTCAGACTGTCGTTTTCCAAATCCCTTGCTTGCAGACTTTCCAAGGAGAGCACAGTCGGGCATGAACACCTCCTGAATCTCGGCAGTGAAGTCGCGTTTAATCACGTACGACTGCTCCAGTAACCTGCGCCCGAGCTTCTTATCGGTAACGCGGATTGGCGCCTCAGCACGTCCACCCGCGTTTAAGATGTCACCGCCGTACAGGAACGCATTGATAAACTTGCGGGTGGTCAGCGTCATCGCGCTAGGGCTAGGCCAGATAAACTTTCCGCCGGACACAAGGTTCTCGAGACTCTTGAGGGTCTCCTCTGCATTATCTCCTGCCCAAGGAGAAGCACGGTCAGCGGCGCCTGCTGCAGGGGGCCGACAAGAGCGGTGAGGTTTAGAATGACTTCGGCGTCCTGAATCTGTAACCACAACTTATCCGTAGGGTCGCGCGCCGTCAAGGCATGCATTAGGGGACCGGAGGGGACATAGCGGATGTCGACACCCTCCAGCCACAAGCGCCGCGTGACCTCAATCTACATTATAACGTATCAGTACTTAACAGCGAACAGCCAATGAAAAAACATGCCCATTCGTGGATGTAGTAATCTACGAGTTTACCTCGTCGCATCTCTGAGAAGCCCACCAACCTGCTCATGAAACGCAAGGAGCGAACGTACCGCTCCCAAGTCGCCGCGTTCTCGTTCGACAGATCCACAGTCATCTGGGTGAAGTACGGCAAGCCTATGTTCTGCTTATCCATCTGCTTCCCCACGTCTGGCTGCCATAAGTCTTCGTCCGTGTACTGTGACCAAACGCCGACGATCATCGTTTTCGGCAATCTTGCGTTCGGGAGGGGAGTGAATGGCGCCGTGTGACCGGCCTCATTGAGTGCGACAACGCGATAAACGATAGGAAAGATCGGCGCTCCTGCCTCGTCCACAGACAGACGCCCGAGACAACGTGTCATGTCATCGTTACGCGTCAGATCCTCGTCAAGGGTCATGTCGTCTTCTTCAGGCGTCTGCTCTCTGCCTGAAGGACCGGGTGTAGCGTTGCGTGGAGGGAGCGAGCCGCAGGAGGCGCCGGTGGGAATGCAGGAGGAGGAGGAGCGAAAACTGGAGCGGGAGCAGTGAAAAACTGGGGCGGCACCACCCAAAAACTGCAGGGGAGCACCGAAACCACCTGCGGGAGCAGCGAAAACTGGAGCGGGAGCAGGTAAAGTGGGCGCGGGAGCACCAACACCGGTAGGAGGAAGAGCATAACCTGGAGGGTAAACGACGGGGGAGGAGCGTAGCCTGGAGGATAGGCAGCAAGGGGTACAAGCTGATAGCCGGGAAAGGCCGGGAGCGCCTGAGCAGCAGCAGCAGCACCTTGAGCAGGTGCAGGAAGAGGTACCGCGGCCCCTCGCTCCAGCGCTAACTCTCTGTTCCACGCCGGCGGAGCGGCTTGATTTGGCTGAGAGATAAGAGGCCAAACAGCGACTTGTTTGAGATCCCAATGCTCGTCCTCGTTCCGCGCAAAGTGGCCATCGCTGAAGGCGGACTTTGGGTGCTCCGTCAACGTATCAATATTGGCAACCCAGTCCCTCCACTTAGGCGTAGAGTTGAATGCGTTGTACACACGCGTGCGATCCTGGTTCCGCCTGCGAGAGAGCGCGCTCCTCTCAAGATATCGGTAGAGGGGTTTGAAGAACCGTTTTATATCGTCGTCGTTGGCCGGTCTGAGCATCGCGGTGCCCGTGACGCCATGCATCTTGCAGTTCTGGTTGCACCAAGGGTGGGCGTCCCCGGTCTTAGGCTCAGTGTGATGACGGAAGTGGCCATGGACATCCATGTACGCCGGCATTCTGAAAGCAGCGGGGTGCGCGCACTCATGCCCACAGCATGAGAGAATCAGGAAGGCGTCGATATCGGCCATCTGCAAATGTGATGGTGGTGGCGGGAAGGAAACAGATCAAATCGGCGGGCATCGATTCTTATCCGGCGATTTCCGTGCACATTGAGTACGATCTAATCTAATCCGGCAAATTCCCTCGCAACAGTGTATTCATTCATTGTTAACTCAATCCTATGTCTACACGTTAATGAATCCTCTATCTAAAACGTTCCACGACAAAAAAAAAAACGAAAAAAAATACCAACCAACGTCACGTGACTCGCCCGACCGAGTCCGAGCGAGTCACGTGACTTGCCGATCGTGGCCGACCGAGACCGGTTGACTGCGGCGAAGTCTCTTAAACTCGTACCACGACCACGCTTCAAGGTACACGTGGAAAGGTATGGGTGCTTGACTGGCTTGTGTACTAACTTTTTCTTGCAGGTTTTTCATGTCTTCTCGCGGTGGGAGCGGTTCGCGCTCTAACCGCCCACGCGCTGGTAGTCATCTCTATATGGCGTCGTTCGCCGACCCTTCTGGTACGTTTTTCTTTTCCTTTTTTGGACATATGCGTAACTAACGTTCACACAGGTAGTCACCCTCCCTGGTTTGCCGACAGTGAGCAGCGGAACGCCTTCTTTCTTGCCGACTGGCAGGGTACAGGCGGTCTCACGGAATACCTCAACAATTACAACCGCTGGCCCGATCCCGCCCCGCTGCCCAACTACGTACCACCGCCTATCGGCACGCGCTGGGACAACGAGCCCATTCCGCCCATGCTCGCATTCACCGAGAACGCCGTCGCCTACGCGACCGAGCTCGACCGCATGGAAGGCGACGATCGTGTGGCCAACTTCCATTCCACAGGTGTCCATGTTGATGCCAGTGCACGCTACGTCAACTGGCTCGATGACGAGGGACGCAAGCGTGGCTCTCTCGACTTTATGCTACGTCAAGGTATGCATTCTCTTGGTCTTCTTCCGTTGTGTTCCAAGGCGTTTTCAGATGCGCAAGCGCGAAGTCGTTGGCTGTACAAGCCGCGACACGTTCCCGAAGAGCCGACGGACAAGCAGGAGCCGATGGACGTGGATGTACCGGCGACGCAGGAGGACGACGACGAAGACGACGTGCCGGTGGGTTCGCGACGCCGGGCTCGACGTGCGTACAAGTTCCGCGTTCATTTCAATTTCAGTTCTGACATATTCTGTTTAGAGATTGTCACCGAAGATGAGGAGGAAGACGACGAAGATGCCCGTCCTTCCAAGCGCCACCGCTGTTAGTACTTATTTCCTGCTTGAAGTATTCTCTGTAACGCGTTTTCAGACTCGGAAAGTGTAGACGGTAGGCGGTCTAAGGCCCGACGCGACTCCGAGCAGTCTGACGAGGAGCAGGAGATGATTGCAGTGGAGACGGGGGCGAGGCAGGAGGATTCCCGACGCAGCAGTAGAACAGCTCAAGGTGTGTTCATTTTCTCTGTTATTTTCAGTTTCAGTTCTGACATACTTTTTAGACGACGACAAGGAGGAAGACCGGGGACAAGACTCCCCCCGCCGCAAACTGCGCCACCGTTAGTAGTTATTTAGTGCTTCATGTATTCTCCCTTGCATCTCTTACCTGTTTTTTTCCATTCTCTTTTTGTTTTGTCTTATCGGGCCCTGATGTTGTCCTAGATCAGGACTTCTCCGCCCCGCCAGCAGCATCTATTCCACATCTCGACTTGACACAGCTTGGCAAGTCTGCTAAGCCGTCTCGTCTCCGTGGTTTCAATGGCCGTGTCAGTTCGTCCTCTTTTTGGTCCGTTTTTTGTGTTGATCGTGCACAGGTTATTCCTTCACTCGCCGTCTCCAGGACTCGCAGGACTCCATTCACCCGCAATGATGATGAAGGCATGCTCCTCGTCTGTTTGTATTCTGAATTCTGACATGTTATTTCAGCGGTATCAGACTCTGAAGAAGACATGCCGTACAATGTAACGCGTCCCTCACAGGTTGTTCTTTCAGAGGCCGTCTCCACGACTCGCACGGCTCCATTCACCGGCAATGATGATGAAGGCATGCTCCTCGTGTTTTTGTATTCCCAATTCTGACACGTTATATCAGTTATCCCCGACTCTGAAGAAGACATGCCAGCGCCTCGCCAGGCTTCCCACGGCACGGCTTTAAAGCGTTTCAATCTACATATTTCGGCACCCCCGCGTCGTCGAAACTTACCGGATCTTCTCCAAGCCTGCCGGTCCGATGCCCGTGTTTCCCAACAAACTGTCTCTGGTTCAGATGTTGGCTCCAGCACCTCCACCGTGAGTTTCTCA